GACTTCTGTGTCGACACGATAGGCTCGGACCCCAAAAGCCACAGTGCAGACCTGGTTGGGATTGTCACCATAGCCATAAAGCTTGCGGTGGAAAGTCATTATGTACAGGAGTTGTGGCGCAATGCCACCGGCGATCCTGATCTTGTTCAATTCTTGAGCCTCAGTAACGTTCAGTTGAACAGAGCGGTCGAGGAGCTTGAAAGTAAGGACTATGCAACTGCAACTGATAGTATGGGTCGAAGTGTGATGATCCCAAAGACGTGTGAGAATAGGATGAGGGAGATGCATCAGCAGCTTACTGCTCTTTCAAATATGAATCACTACATCAGCAAGCTCTTGGACGTTGGGTTGGTCCTTTTTCAACCCCTCGCCTGATTTATTTTATCCTCCTTTTCTTTGCTTTTTTTTTTTCTTTATTTTTTTTTCCTTCTATATTTGCTGCTAAATAAAGGTGCAGGTCTTTCACCATTGCGATTATAACTTTGCTCAGGCAAAGTACATCTGATCGTAAAGGGTGCACAAGCACTTTACCAATTGAGGGAAGGGAAAGGTTTCTATCCTTCCCTTACACCATAAAAGATATATACCGTTCAGAGCCATTAGTCATTTATCCTTTTAAGTATTTTATTTTTAATTTTTTTTCAATAGGGGGCACCTAAATAAAATGTTAAAAAAATATTTTTGATAAAATAAAATGATCAAAATACCTTTGAAACTTTCATCTACATTTTTATTATTTTATTTTATTGAGAATATTGTTTTTATATTTTTTTTATAGGGGCGAGTTCAAGAGAGGATTGGACACTCCAATTTTGGTATTCTAATGTTTTATATAAAAAAATTAGAAAAAATAATATATTGCATGACATTGTAATTAGGGCCATCTAAGCCATCCATTTAGGATAGACGGTTGGATAGGCGGAAGTATAAAAGTTTTATGCTACGGGAAAGGTTGATATACTTCCCCTTACAGCATAGAAGATCTATTCTTCCCCTACCATCCAGCCGTTCAATTTTGATCGAGAGAGCCACTCACCGTTTGATCTTAGATCCAACATCTCAAAGTATTTTATTTTTAGTTTTTTCTTATAAAAATTGTATGGATATGAAATTTGGTATGTGCCATCTTCTCATTGGGATGCCCCTATAAAAAATATTTAAAATATTTTTTTTGATAAAATCTAATGACCAAAATACCCCTTGAAACTTTTAGGGGTATTTTGGTCATTTTATTTTTTTGAAAATATTTTTATATATATATATTTTTTGCTAGTGCGAGTTTAATAGAGGATTGAATATACAAAATTTGGTGTCAAAATAGTTTATATGAAAAAATTTAAAATAAAATAGTGTAGAAACATGACCTTGTGATTGGAGCAATCTTTGTTTGACCAAGGTTTCTACTTTTATTGATAACTACAAAAATGAAATTACATCATCAGAGATAAAAAGAGAGGGGATAGGGGAACCTCATTTAGCTATAATGTTAGCAACACTATTGGCTTCCCTATAAATATGAGAAAAGGAAATCGAAACTGAGGCACCATCTACCAAGTCCATCACCTGCAACCACAAAGACCAGAGCTCCCAAGTGATTTTCAGTTCTTTTTTACACCATTTAATAATTGAAGGAATCAACTTCAATCGTACAGTTACACCTCAAATTCTTCCTTAAGAATATCTTCAAACCACAAAGCAACACACTTAGTTTTGCAAAATGTGTGCTAGCAAGACCTAGCGGACCAGCATAGGAGAAAAGAACATTACCAGAGCAATCTCGCATCACGACTCCAATCCCAGCTAATCCTGGGTTTCCAAAGGAGCTACCATCAGAGTTAAGTTTTAGGCTTCCTAAACACGGTGCCACCTATATACGTATCGGGCTAGAGCAATTAGAACCAAGATAGAACAAATTTCGTAGATTGTCCGTCACATCCACTTTGGAAATACCCCTACCCTCTTTATTCACTGACAACCACGATCATATGGAACATTTTATGATATGGATTAGCTTATCAAAAGGACAAGAAATCCCTGCAAAAGTTCTTTTATTTCTTTCCTTCCAAAGCTCCTAGAGAATCACACTTACTACAATCTTCCATACTACACGTCCCGTCTTGGGCACAAATCACTGTCATAGTCGACACAATCCCCCCAAAGAACTAAGGAAGAACCATTTGTATCCCAACTTTATAAAAAAACCAGTACCAAATTCTTGACGTAAAATAGCAATGAATGAAGAGATGTGCCCCAATCTCCCCATCCTTCTTGCATAACAAACATACATTAGGGAGAATTTTCCTCCTTTGGATCAAATTTTCAATGGTCTGAATTTTATCCTGAGCTGTCAGCCAAATAAAAATTTGAACTTTGTGTGGGATCGACCATTTCCATATTTTGGCGATGTGCATGCATGACCATCTCCATCGGTCATGAAAAAAAAGATTGTAGTAAGATTTTACAGAGAAAACACCATCACTCTCCATCTCCCAGATCAACTTATCACCGGCATTTTGAGATAAATACACTTTATGCAACAACTCCATGAGTTGGCACCATTGTACTAACAATACATTATTCAGTCGGCTGTATGCTAAAGAAATATCCCATGAAATGTACTGGCCCCTGGTTTCTGTTGCCTCACAAAGAGACCATTTTTCTTTTGTACATGAAAGTCCCAATCATTCCCACACATTAGATGTCATATTAGATGACTTGGGGTGATTCACGAAGTCCGAAAATATTTTTTTTGAACTTTGTATCTATTCAATGACACTCTTACAACCACTCATCTTGAAATTTAAAGGACAAGAATGATTGACTTCCATGTACAAAAGATATATTTTTGTACAAATGTTTTGGTTGTGTTATTGATAAATGAGAAACAATGTTGTCAACAAAACTTGGTCCATCCAAACAAGCCAAATTGTAGAAGGTGTCACCGTATTTAATAAAGAACAAAGTTAAAAACGAAATTTATCAAAATACACATAAGAGATGAACTATACAACATCTCACATATCTAGGCCCAAATAAGGATATGCTCTTTTTAATTGAATTTTTAAAATTAAATTTGAAGATAAAGGTAATATGTTAATTTGTTCATCTCCTATGAGTATTTGATAATTTCTCTAAACCAAGATTGGTTATTATAGCAATGGTGAAAGGCCCATGTTCTTACCTAGTAACACATAAAGTAAAGCAACACAGAAAAGGAAAGGAAGACAAAAATCAGGCAAGGAGTTGGAGGAGGGACAGGACAACGCGGAAAAGCTTGCTTAGGTACTGGTTCATATTATTTAGCTCCCTCTCTCTCTCTAGAGGAACCACCACTCCCATATGGTGACCCAAATAGGGTACACGAATTCTCTGCACTTTTATCCCATATATATAAAGTTAAGAATCCATATTAAATAAAAAACTTCTTTTAGATCTTACATATATCTCAAAAGACCAATAGATATATCCAAGAGTCCTAATCTTTTTGAATTTCTATTTCCTTTAGTAAATTTATCAATATCAATATCAATTTTTACGAGAATATTTCAATCTCACATAATATGATAATATCTCAATCCCACAAAATTTATATGAGATTTCTTTATGTTGGTGATTTAGATAGCACCAAATTGAACATGTGTGTCTGTATGCGTGCGTGCGCATGGATGTGTGTATGTGCACGTGCATGTGTGCCCTTACATAAATGGATTCTCTCATGCAGTATTTTGTAACTCTAGGTGTTCTTTATGTGCATAATTTTTTCCTTTTGAGATACGCAGTTCACCCATTACCTACCTCCAATTAAAGCATGGAATAAGACATTGTAACCCTAACTCCCTTTATTATATGTGTGTGTAAGGAGAAGGTGGTGATCCATGAGGACAAACATTTTGTTTCACTATCTGGAGACTCTGCAATTCCACCTACAGTTTCCGGGAATGACACAGCATCCACAACCTGTACAACGTCTATAAAAGTGCCACGGTGACCGTCATTGGGAACTATTTCATAGCCACTTATATCCAATTTGAGGTATCAAAACATTTTCTGATGACGTAGAAATATTTTCATAAAAATATATATATTTTTTATAGTAAATAAATAAATATATAAATGCAATCCATCAAAAGGGCGACACATATTTGTCTATAATATGTTATTTGACCATTGAGTTGATCAAAGATCTTGCGTGATAGGTAGGCATTTGAACTTTTTAACATATCTATATGCGGACAAGCTTTCTATGTTTTTTCTACAACATAAAATTTATATACTTCCCTTTATCCAATTCCTCATTTTGAATGAAGGGTTAAGATTGTCCAAATCACAATGTCACGACTCTACACTATTTTAACTTAAATTTTTTTTCCATAAACTATTGTGACATCAAATTTTGGACGTCCAATCCTAATTGTATTATCTAAAAAACATAAAAATAAATATTTTCAATAAAATAAAATGATCAAAATACCTTGAAAGTTTCAAGGGGTATTTTGGTCATTATATTTTATTCCCCACCCCCTGAAAGATCAAACGGTGAGTGCCTCTCTTGATCAAAATTGGACGGCTTGATGGTAAGGGAAGCATATATCTTTTATGTTGTAGAAGAAGTAAAAAAATATTTCCCTTTATCCAAACCAGTGTAGATCTTCTATGTTGTAGGAACAGTATAAAAACCTTTCCCTTTATCGAGACCCAATTGCAGAAATAAGATGCGACACTTTGCTGCCGCCGTGTGGTTTTCTTGAATAATCTTGAGCACCTGTAGTTCTATCCCTTCTACATCCTCATCCTTTGTTTCTTGTCGGAGAACATGTATATCCTTTGGAAGATGGACATTCACAGCTTTCCACAAATGTCTTCCTGGTTTTGCTGCCAAGCTAGCCCTTGGACCAGCGTGTTTATGAAGTTTGTATGTTTGACCTATTGCACTCTAAACATGTGGTCACTTTTAGAAACCTATTTTCCTATTACATACGGGAGAGATGGGACTTCATTATTCAGACTTCTACAAGTCTATCGCACATTAAATATGTGATATTGGCATGTATAAGCCCATCGCAAATTAGATATGTGCCCAAAAGGGCTTTGACTAGAGTCGAGATTCAGTTACAACCATCTGGAACTAGTTCTTGCATCACTTTTTTTCTCTCATTCTGTGGTTCCATCATTTTACAAATTGAGCATGTTGCACATTACATCTGCAATTTTATTCAAATTGCGCATGTTGCACATGATCCTAATCGTGTCCCAACAGGAAGATCGATCTTTTACTACCAATCACAGGTTTTGGGGTTGGGTGCAGTATTCATACCGAAAATTCCGATCAAGAGTTATTTCATATATACTTTCTAAAACACTTTTTCTAGACCATTTTCAAATTAGTGCATATAAACCAGAGTCACCCAGATTGAAGAAAAATAATGGGGAGAGAGGGCAGTTCTGGTGTTTTATTCCCAAATTCGAAATATTCTGATATTGCAAATGCCAGACAAGGGTTCTGATATTGACAATATCGGACCACCCGAAACAAAAGAATTTAAACGATTCGATATCTTTGACGTTGAACATACCATGGGGACTGAGTTTAGGGCGGTCCAATATTTACAGCATCAAAAGGCCAATAGATAGGGTTGTTTGGTGTTTCAGCCTTAAATAAAACATAATTAAAAGAGGGGGGTGGAGAAGAAATTTCCACCGGTCCGATGTTGGAAATGTCAGACGGTGGGTGAAAACAAAAAAAAAAGGTGGGCTTGGGGGTGGACCTTGGCATAATATTTGGGAAATATGGAGTAGACCGTAAGAACAGGCCCCCAAAACTGGTCTGTAAGTAATTTTACTTTATATTGTTCCTTTGAATTTAGTTGCCCCCTTTGTGGTGGTGATTTTTCTCGCGTTGATTCTTATTTGAGAAGCTTGTGCATGGTTGAAGACATTTACAATAACTATTTGAAAAACGAGTATAACTTGCGAAATTTTTTAAAGAAAGCATGTTCTAGAAACCCCTGAATTAGTGAGCTTATTCTAAAGGGGTCCATGACATTGATATTGTACTATTCTTTTAATTTAGATGTAAATACTGTTGTAAGACCAATTCCTTGCAACAATTATTCATACTTGAATTTACAATAGTTATTCATAATTGAATTAGTTGCTTCCCTATTATTTCCAGAGGTATTTTGAACTAATTCATACTTGAATTTACAATAGTTATTCATTGAATTAGTTTCTTCCCTACTATTTCCAGAGGTAACATCTTCCGGGCCAGTATTTTGAACTTGTTTCACTTGAAGCTAAGTTTCCTCTGGAAGACAGGGAAACCTAAAACACGTCCAAATAAGTTCGCATTGGTACCCTTCAGTGAAGGATCACAATCCTCATCTAAAAAGGAATATGTGTGGCATTATTTCTTGCAGCAACTAAACTGCAACTTCTGTCATGTATTAAACAAGTTATGCTAACTCTATTATCTCATTCTAGATTCATGACAATTTACTATTTTGTAATGCTCTTGTACAATACTTTGTTTCATTTCTTACCGAACTCAGCACTAGCTCCTAAAAGTAGGGCAGAAAAGGGGCAAGCAGTGTATGTAAGAGTATTTGGGGATAAAACAGTTTTCTACCATTGTGGCGTTGGCTTTGTCGGATACCAAAATGCTTTGTATGATGAGTAGGGCCTCCACTATTTCAGCGAGTATTTCACTCAAGATGCCATTCAGAATGTCATTGATTTCATTTGTGGCAACAGTCGATCCCTCTATGAGGTGAAAATCTCTCTCTCGTGAGCGAAATGCAAGTGAAAAATAGTAATTGGTTTTAATAGCCAAATGCAAGTGTTTGATAGTGATATGTATTGAAATTGTGTAGGCGTTGGTCGTCATCATTGTGGCATAAGGAGATCATGGTAATTTTTTCTTATTTTCTTTTTCACTTCCTTTGTTCCTAGGATTGCCACTTGAATTTTATTGGCGAAAGCAAATCTTGGATCACAGCCCAAAATAGAGATAAGGAATCCAATAAAACCGGATTCTCCTTGATAGGAGGTCATATCACGGGACCTGGGCATGGGACGGTGCATTTAAGACGACCATGGGGTCAATTCTCAACCCAAATGGATGAAGGGGTAGCACCTCAAGGTTGGGACAGTTTTTGGTCAAATGAAGACCAAAGCAAGTGAGTATCTCTATCTCTCTACAGGCACGCATACATATAATTAGACATGTATAGTTGATATGGTAGAATTATATATCCTTGTATGCATTTATGATATGCTAGAATTATATACTTGTTGTCACCTCTAGCTGGCTGGATGGAAAAGTACAAGGGCATTGAGATGGAAAGTCGTCTAAAAATTCAGAAATCGACTGAACTCCGGCTCACAAGAGTATATTTTGCTTACGCTAAAAAATGAATTTATAGAGGTTGTCGAAGCTTGAGTTGTTTTTCAAGGAGTGGAAGTGAAAATAGGATCCATTACTCCGAAGCATATTTACCGGGAGCACCCAACTAGGGGGGCGCTTCCGTTTCGGAACCCAACTCCATAGCCAAGATCTCGATCATAACTCACTCCCTACTTTTTGGGAGCTCGGTCCTATTTTTAGGATTCTTGATCCCGTTCACAACGAAGCTCACTCTCGATACTGCACAGAACGTGTTCCTTAAATTTTAGGATCTCGTTCCTGAATAAATTAGATCTCGGCTCCCAGAGTTTTAAGAGCGTGATCCCTACATTTCCGAAACTCCATCCCTATTTTCTTGAAACATCCTAAAAGAAACTTCTCGAATAAAATTAATTTTAAAATACAATAATTATATTTAAAGCCAAATTTTCGAAACAACATAATTCTATGATGGGAGCGTAGACTAATCATGCACAAAACACGATCCTTCCTTGAATGGAGCTCGATCATTTCCAAATAGGAACACGAACATTATTAGATGGGGGTACGATCCTATTGTCGATGGGAGCATGATCCTAATGAATATGGAAATACAATCCCATTTGACATAAAAAGCGTTCCCGTTCAATGAGGATCTTGATCCCGATGTATTGGAAACGTGCTCCCTGTTCATACGGGATCTCGATCCGCTACTTTTACCCTCATCAAAACTCGTTCCCCGAGCTCCGGAGGTTTAGGCAGACATCGCTCTGATGCTTCTGCTTCCAGAACCAGAGCCGATCCCACTCCCACTCCCGATAACTAAGCTCTGAAGGTTATATTTTATTAGGCTAAAACACAAAAGGTACCCTCTTAAGAGCCATTGAAAGGATAAGAGTAAACTAAAGAGTTGGGCCCACTTCCGCAACAAGAGGTCATTGCTAAGATCAGAGTTTGCCATACATCAAAATAAAAATCAAGAGAAAATGAAAACAAAAAACATGGTTTGGATGTAAAAGCATCTAGCCGTTTATAGAAGCACCATATATACCCAATCTTTAACTATGAATTTATCAATTAGTAGGAAAATTTTAACTATCTTTGGTATCTGTCGTTTGGTACCTCTCGTCAGGGGGTAATTTAAAGTTAAAAATTTTCCATGCTTTTTGGCTACCAATGCTATCTTTGACACCAAAGGTTCTATTAGGTTGAAACACAATACAGATCCAGAGCCAAATTGAAAGAATTCGAGAAATAAAGAGTTAGATCGACTCCTATTACCAGTAATGGTTAAGCTGAAATCTGAGTTTATGATGTAAAAGAGGAAAAGAAAGAAATATAAGGAAAACATGGGACATGGTAATAACACATGGCTCGTTATGGAACTCTATTGGCTATTATGAAAGTTGTATGCATCTTTAGTAGTATATTGTGTGGGGAGGTAATTTGAAGTGTTAAAAGTTTAATATAAAATGATGAAAAACAAGTCATTTTGGTCTTCTATTCCCAAGTTTTTCCATGTCTCAAATATGGATTAACAGTTCATATTGATTTGCTTTAACAAATCTTATATATGACTTACAGCTTGTAAATTTCTTGGTGGCATTAGGACCATATATTATGCAGAGTATGCTAGTTGGGGGCTAGGTGCCAACAACACAGACAGAGTTCCTTGGGATCATAAGCTGAAGCCGAAGCAAATACATTCCGAGGAAAATACTACATTAATGGATCCACATGGATCCTTTGATTGTATTTTCTTTATTTTGTTTCACTGTTACATTTCTTTTTTATTTGATACCACATGAGGTTGGTAATAATTCATAGGTTGTGGTAATGGGTTCAGCCATGGTTGTACGGGTTCCCCCGCCCCACCCGTGCCCCTAATTATTTTGTTTGTTTTTCCTTGGGGCATTTTTCAGAATAGAGTGATGACCCTTCATGGACCTGAGCCCAATTAATCAGCCATTGATTTTGGCTTTGAGGTTGGGAAAGCATGATGTATGGCATCCAAATAACCAGTAAAAGCAAATTTCCCGGACCCTTCATCCTTTCAAGATGCGTTGTGGGTCTCTTGGTTTAGTTTCTGTCTCTACTTATCCTCTCTCTTTCATTCATGACCTATAGATGAGAAGCTTCTTTTATCGTGAATGAGCATTAATCCCAAGCTTAGAAAATTCCAACTTTTCCCAAGCTTCTTTTGTCACAAATGGGGATTAGTCCTAAGCTCCCCTTCCCTCACTTTATCTGCATCTTTTAGTTAACTATCCGATCTCTCTCTCATTTGGTCCATCTAAGGGAGCCAAGAGTGCAGGGCATCCACAACAATGCTGTGCTAAACAGATGTAATCAAAAAACAAAAAAAAATGGACCCAAGCAATGCCATGCCAAGTACTTTATTATTGCATTTGGTGAAAGACCCAGTAAAGAAAAAAGAAGAAATAAATCAGGTTAGGCGTTGAAGGAGGGCCCTTGCAATGTCCAAAAACCAAGGGTCTCAAGAAGCGGGAGACCACATACCTTGCAGCCTTGAAGGAGAATGAGGAAGGACGTGGTGAGTCACCAATGCCCCAAGAGATTGAGCAAGTTCTCATAGGAGTTCAAGGATGTGATGCCGAATGAGTTGCCCAAACAGCTACTACCTAGGCGAGATTTCGCAATTGAGTTGCCCAAACAGCTACCACCAAATTGAGTTGCCCCATTCTCAATTTCGCAATCAACGGAGACATCCATAATTCGTCCGATATTCTCAAACTCCCTTTTGTAGTCCTTAACCTCAAAATCATGAGCAGTGGCATTCAATAGTTCGACTGCAGACTGGTAGTCATCGGCACAACCACTCAAGAAAGTAATAAGCTTGGGATTGCCTGTGGTATTGTGATAGTAGTTCACTACATAGTTACATATACTCGTTGTGTTGTCAACGGCAAGCTTTATGGCTATGGCCGAGACCCCAACCAGGTCTGCAGTGCGGCTTTTTGGGTCCGAACCAATCATGTCCACGCAAAAGTCATAGTGCTTGGTGTGGTTGCACGCATCCTTCAGTATGTCTGATGGCTCCAAGTATGCCTTACCAGGGAAGGGGTCCCTGGCAATTGCATGGCCTAATGTAAAGAGGAAGACGAGGGAGAGAGCCATCGCTATAGTGGAAGGCATGGTGTAGACTTTACAGAGAGCCTTAGATCTGTTCTCTTTCTGGTTTTCAGTTGTTCCTTCTAACGTATTTATAAAGGCAAGTAGATTTCTCTAACTTTATAGGAAAATATATCTTTTGCACTTAGTATCATAATTCATGAAGATAATCTCACCCTTCATGCCTTACACTGAATGGTGAAAATGAGCTATTTGCTGTTATGTATGTACATAAACAATATACTACACCATTCTTGTACTATGCATGCATGCTCCTCATTTTTAAGAATTGGAAGGGATAACTACCAAAAATTAAGATTCTCCTCCCCAAATATAAAAAGTAATTTTCCCTAATATTTTTCATCTTTTTCTTTGATTTTAGTTGTTTTGATATTGTTCTAGTTGCCAATTTCTTACGTCGTCTTTTGTTGTGGTGATTTTTCTCACGTTGATATTGTTTTATTTGGTGATTTCCTTTCTTATTTGAGAAGCTTGTGCATGGTTGAAGACATTTACAATAACTATTTGCAAAACAAGTATAGCTTGCGAAATTTTTTAAAGAAAGCATGTTCTAGAGACCTGAATTAGTGAGCTTGTTCTAAAAGGGTCCATGACATTGATATTTGGTTATTCTTTTAATTTAGGTGTAAATACGGTTCTAAGACCAATACCTTATGACAATTATTCAGACTTGAATTTACAATAGTTATTCATAATTGAAGTTGTTCTTCCCGACTATTTCCTGAGGTATTTTGAACTATTTCATAGTTGAATTTACAATAGTTATTCATAATTGAATTAGTTGTTTCCGTACTATTTCTAGAGGTAACATCTTGCGGGCCAGTATTTTGAACTTGTTTCAGTCCTAAAACACATCCATTAAGTTCACATTGGGACCCTTCAGTGAAGGATCACAATCCTCATCTAAAAAGGACTGTGGCATCATTTCTTAGAGCAACTAAACTGCAATTTCTGTCATGTATTAAACAAGTCATGCTAACTCTATTATCTCATTCTACATTCATGATAGTATACTGTTTTTATGTAATTCTCTTATACAGTGATTTACTTCATTTCTCACCGAACTCAACACCAACTCCTAAGAGTATTTGGGGATAATGCAGCTTTCTACCATTGTGGCTTTGTCGGATACCAAGATACTCTGTATGACCAACACGACCTCCATTATTTCAACAAGTGTTTCATTCAGAGTGCCGTTGACTTCATTTATGGCAACGGCCGATTCCTCTTTAAGTCGAAAATCTCTCTCCAAATTCTAGTGATAGATATAGGTATTATCACAGGCCTTGGTAGTCATCCTTTAAGGATAAAGAGATCAATGATAGTTGTATCTTATTTTATTTTCTTTTATGTTTAAGAATGTCAATTAAATTTTATTGACAATGGAATTTCTTAGATCACAACCCAAAAGAGAGGAGAGGTGATGACGTCAATCCAATTGAAACTGGATTCTCTTTCGTAGGAGGTCAAATAATTGGATAGGGGATAGTGTATTTAAGATAACAATGGGGTGCGTTCTCAACCATAGTATTTTATAAAACCCGAATGGCTTCTAAAACCCGAATTGAGCAGCTGGTTGTCCCTCAAGGTTGGGATGGTTTTTGGGGACCCGAAAGCCGAAACAAGCAAGCATCTCTCACACAGACCCCCCCGTTGGGATGGTTTTTGGGGACTTGAAAGCCGAAGCAAGTAAGCATCTCTCATACACACATCCCGAATCAAAACGAAAGACTAACCCTTCACGAAAGTATAAAAAATGAACCCCAATCTTTTACTATGAATCTATTGAATGGTATCAAAATTTAAAGTATTTTTTGTATTTCTTGTTAGAAGGTAATTTCAAGTAGATGCCAAATTTTTAAACTTCAAATTACCTCCTAGCAAGAGATACTAAAAATGCTTTAAATTTTCATATCATTCACTAGATCCATAGTAAAAGATTGGGGGTCATTTTTCATACTTTCGTCAAGGGTTAGATGGTTTAAATCTAAACATGTTCTTTGCTTTCTTATTTCTCTTTCTTCTGTTTTCATATGGGTGTGATACAGTATGTGCGAGAGAGAGGCTTACTTGCTTCGGCTTTCAGGTCTCCAAAAACCATCCCAAACCTAATTTTAGAAAATACTACCTTGCCGTACACCATCCCCTGACCAGTTATTTGACCTCTTATAAAAGAGAATCCAGTTTCAATTGCATTGGCATCATCACCTCTCTTTTGGGCTGTGATTTAAGAATTTCCCTTGTCAATAAAATTCAATTAACATTCTTAACTATAAAAAAAAAGAAAATAAGATACAACTATCATTGATCTCCTACTCAAAGGATGACTATCAAGGCTTGTGATAGTACCTATATCTATCACTAAAATTAAAAGAGAGATTTCACATCAAAGAGGGATCGGTCATTGCCACAAACGAAATCAACGACACCTTGGATGAAGCACTTTTAGAAATAGTGGAGGCCCTTAGCATCATACAGTGTATCCTGGTATCCAAAAAAGCTACAACGATAGAAAGCTACTGTCACCTGAAACTCGTAATGCCACTGCTTGACTATCCTTTGCCCCCAAGTTCTTCAAGAAATATGAATCATTTTTATTATTGCATATCAAATCACTCTACTCCAAGTAAATTATTATTCCATAAAATAATTGTAGTAACACGCACCAACTCTGCAAGTCTCATTTAAAAGTTCATACATCATTTGCTATTGATATAAATATATTTTATAAGAAAAATATAGTAAACGAGAAAATATAATGATATATCTCTATTTATGGCAATTGATGAATGGTAGACATTTGTTTAACGAAATGAATAAATTGAGAGAACATAAGGAATTCTTTTCTGCATATTGCAGTCTAGTTTCAAAACAAATTTTAAACCCTATGGCTACTTAAAAAAGTTTATCATGATAGTTATACAATTACATGCATAAAACAATATTCTAATTTCAATAATAAACAATAGATAATAAAAAAACAGCCAATAGCAATTACACATATCCACATATGGAACAATATTCTAATTTCAATAATAAACAATAAATAATAAAAAAACAGCCAATAGCAATTACACATATCCACAGATGGAGAGAAACTCAGATTACCTGGTGATTGAAGTGAAGGGAAATCCAAGTATTTGCTTCAAATAATTTGGTAAAACATGGAGAAAAAACATATTGTAGAAGAAAACTTTACAAATTCTATACTCAGCATGCCCATAATTAGGACAAATAAGAGAAACTCAGATTACCTGGTGATTGAAGTGAAGGGAAATCCAAGTATTTGCTTCAAATAATTTGGTAAAACATGGAGAAAAAACATATTGTAGAAGAAAACTTTACAAATTCTATACTCAGCATGCCCATAATTAGGACAAATAAAAGTGAAAACAACCAAACGAGGAAAGTCCAATTGCCTTTATAATGGAAGTTCTGTGTATATATATATATATATATATATATATATATATATATANACACACTAGTTGTAGTACAAGTCGTCGTACTTAACTAAACTACTAACTAATAGTACGTAACTAACTAACTACGAGTACGTACGAGTACGTAC